CAAAACCCGTAATTAATTCCATAACGTTCGTCATAAATTTTATAACGTTCCCCATAATTATATATCTGTTACACATATTTTTAATTACATGTTTTAATTACAATATTTATTATAATTCATGAAGGCAAAATTGCCTTTTGTTAACAAAAAATCTAACAGTCCCCCCCCCCGTTAGTAATCCCTGAAGATTGTTGGATTTGCGAAATAAATATAGGTTGGGCAACCTTTCGTATCGTGAATTCGGGATAGGTAGCTTTCGGCTTTGAACCTTTCCTTAGTGAGTTCATCGCCACCTGAGGGACATAATGGACTAGGCCTTGAATTAGGCCCCGTTAATCAGGTATTGATGAAAACACACACAATATGCTTCATCTATTGAGCAAAGCGGGTTGAGCGTTAAAGGCCATGCTCACAATAAACCGACTCATGAGAGTTTCTAGGGGTTAACCCAGCCCCCCCTAACCGCGGCCATCACGGTTCCTCTCACGTAGGTAAGCCCTCAAAGGGTACTACAGCTGTTTATTTAATACCCCCCACAATACACGCGTTGGACTTATTAAGAGTAAAACTCAGCCTAGCCAGCTGTATCATAAGAGCATCGTCATCATAGAGAAGGGGTAGTAGCAAATGCTACATAATGATATATAAATATATCTAGGTCGATGCTCCACACGAGAGTCACTTGTCCAGCTTGTTTCTACCACATTGAACCGACATTGGGACTACGTCTCCAAATAAGGGTTGGGTTGCCGCTGTCAGTGACCTCATCTATGGGCTTAACCCCATCTCCCTCGATGAATCCAGGACCACACTCCTGGATAATCCCTTAGTCAAAGGGTCATCAAGATTCTTTTCACAGACTTTACAAAGTCTAGAATCATAACTTTGCCTAGCAGGCGTTGTATTTATTTATCAAGTTCTTATTTTGTAATTAGTCCATCATATTGTTTGAAATTGACATTAGGTCATGATCTATGATCATAAAAGATCATAGTCTATGTCTGAAGAGATTGACCTTAATATCTGAACATTTCAAACTAATGTGGAACTAAAAATTCTGCAGTTATGCATAAAACTAATGTGGAACTAAAATTCTGCAGTTATGCATATGCACATACATGAATGAAATTAAAAATAGATACATGCAGAGCATAATAGGATTTCGTATCTTAAAAAATATTTTCGTAGCTTAAAATATATTTCATACTTCATAATTCAAATGCATAAAATTTTTAAATTATTCTATTATAAGAGGTTACAAATTGGTTGCCTACAAAGGAGACCGTCCAAATTTAAATCGGTTGCCTACAAATGAGACCTTCCAAATTTAAATTGGTTGTCTACAAAGGAGACCTTCCAAATTTATGTTGCCATTTTCTAGTACCACCTCTTATACAAATAATAATAATAATAATATTTGTACATACGTGCTTTAAATTTTACAAGTGCATTCTTGCATAAAACCTTGTAATTAATCATGTAAAAAATGCAAGTTATCTAAAAAGATATATGAGCATTTATTGCAATATTCATCAAAATGCAATAAAAATGATGAACTTTACATTTGAATAATATAATTCACCATATAAAATAGAATTTTAAAAGATGCACCTCTTTGATTTGGTTCGCTCATATATTGATCATTTATCATTAGGCAATATATGATGCAAGAAGCGTAATTAAATAAATGCATATGAATTATTCTTATAATTCCGGTCCTCTTATTCCAAAAACTCCTAAAGTGAAAAGATTAAAGTTTTACCCGGGTAGTTAGCCAGGTAAGGATAGTAATAGAGGTTGATCAAAGATCAATTAAGTACCTCGTTCCTTGCAGAGCGCGTTACGCAACCCTTAAACCTTGCCTTAGACACCAACTAATCCAAGAAAACTTGAATCGGTTCACTCAATGAGTTTTTGTTCCTTAACAGTATATAGAAACTTTAAATTATTTCCTGCAATCATTTAAATTGCCTAGCAATTATACTGCAAACATATGATGGATAAGGCCGAGGAGGGGTTTACCTATTGATGTTCGAACCTCATGATTTTCATGTCTTGAGAGTAAAAACTCATCTGCTGCAGACAACTGCCACAGAAGTTGCTGAACAAATTTGCATTCACTTTTACCACCTTCTGTACTAAGCTTATTAGATGCATAAATACACTAAAGTATGGAATTATTAATAATAGAAGGTACCATATTGATAGGTTAAAGAAATGAAAGCATTAAACCATGAAAAAATCCAGATATTTCAAATCGTCTATGCATCCAGAGTTTGTTCACTTTATTCTTGTCAAAACCATGCATATGAAATTTTTAAGAATAAAAATGTGCATTGCTGCAAATTTATAGCATGTTTCAAATGCGTGCATATTCACTAACACAAGGGGATAAGGGTAGGTTTTAGATGATTCTAACAAATATAAACTAGGCTTTTAGAAACCAATAAAGGTTCTTTGATATTCGTAACTTACAATAATTATTGATTATAAAAAAACTATAAGAAAAATGTAATTAACTGTTAAATTAAATTAACAGAAATATTTAGCTATAATTTTTTAATTATTAAATATATTTTTTTATTTAAAAAAAAAACCAAAACTGTTTACATGAACAATAACTTTTTAAATAAAATGAACAGTAACCTTTTTTTTTAATAACTGTTTTCCCGAATTTTAATCAACAACTAATTAATCCTTTGAACATTTATATCTCGGGTGAACAGTAACTGATTTGGATGAACGGTAACCATTATCCTTTTTTAATATATAAAACTGCAACAAATTAATAATAAGCAAATAAATTCTCTAGAAAAAAAATAATTGCATATAAATTCTCTGTAATGTGGTTTAAAAAATAAGAATATTCAACAAAATATGCTCTCTTATTTTAACCACGCGGTTTACAAGAAACAGTTTTGAAATTGTGGAAACTAGATTTATAATATGAGAGCATGTTGTACTAGACTGGTTTTCAAGTTGATGCTTTCCCTGATTTCTTTCTCAATGAAGAGGGTAAATCATCATCGTCTCAGAGACAGGGATTTTTTTTTTTTTAAGGATTCAAAATCAGAATACAAAACTTAAAGCAGGAAATAAGCTCAAAGATATCATCAAATGAATTCTTTCACCACAGAAAGGTATAACTCATGCAAGAAAATTCAACATAGAATAAATAATTAAATAAGCAACAAATAATTAAAGTAATTAGCAGTTTTATGAACAGTAATATAGAATTTTCTGATGAACAGTACTTTCGAACTAATTCTTAGTAACTATTTTCTCAATCTTCTAGATTGTTGGAAATTTACCAATAATTAAGATTATAGCATGCAGATAAATTCGAAAAATTACAAACAATTAAAACTAGCCTGAACGGGAGCAGTCGTGTATTCACTGCCCTAGAAGATTGAGAACCCGCCTATCGCCCTGGCGCAGATGGTTCCCTCCCCCTAGCGGTAAAAACCTCCGGAAACGGCCGGCCTCTACACTCAGGCGAGAGTGCAGAGCTTCAGCTCAGATGAAGAAAGTTACCCATAAGATAAAACTAAGATATAATGAAAATAATATATGTAGGGGAGAGAAGAGAAAACAAGAGAGACTTCTTGTTATTTTTCTTATCCTTTTGAGCTCAACATACGGATATATATATATAGGGTTGGAAAAGACGTTACAAAACCCGTAATTAATTCCGTAACGTTCGTCATAAATTTTGTAACGTTCCCCATAATTATATATCAGTTACACATATTTTTAATTACATGTTTTAATTACAATATTTATTATAATTCATGAAGGCAAAATTGCCTTTTGTTAACAAAAAATCTAACACATTCTCCCCTCCTTCGAGACAGCATTTGTCCTCAAGTGGAAATTTTGAAAACCACTCCTTGATCTCATTATAATCCTGCCAAGTGGCTTCGTCCTTCACTAAGCCTTGCCAGTGCACCAACACCCACCATACCCAATCCCTAATGCGTTGCTTCTTCCAGTTCCGATACAAAATCACCTTTTTAGGAATTAATTACATGTTTCTCCTTGAATCAAATGTAGGTAATTTTTTCATAATCAATTTAGAATCCGTGCAATCAAAATCTCCATTTATTCAAAAATTTTGAATGACAATTTTCCTCCTCAAATAAAGGAAAAGCTTGAAAGAATGTAACTCTTTTCTTCTTCTTGTATACTGCCAGTTATTATTCTGGTGTTAGTGATGTACAAAAACGCTCATACTTGGTTTGATGAATAAAGTTTATTTTCATTGACCAAAAAAAAAATTTAGAATCCCCCCCCTCACCACCCCCTTTCTTTTTCAGTACTGATACATATAAAAGTGACAACTCTTGCAACTCCAACCTATAGGCAACCTCACCAACCCACTACAATACCTTAAAAGGCCCATAATGTCTCTGTGAGAGCTTCACATTAAACCTTTTCTTCAACAATTTCTGACAATATGGTTATAGCTTCAAGTGCCAAAATTCTTTCCCTCAAATATCACATCTTGTTGGCCTTCGTCATAGTACTTCTTCATCCACTTCTAAGCTTTTGCTAATTTCTTCTTCACACCTCATAGAATCTCTTTGCTAGCTAGTAAATCTTGCTCCACTTCAACATTCTTCGTTGTTCCCCCACTCATAAGACTGTAACTTAGGTAGCATTTGACCGTACATCAACTCAAATTGAGTCTTCTAGATTAATGAATGCAAAGTGATGTTGTACCAAAAATCAACCCTGGTAAGGTTAAAGAGTCAATAAAAAACCTTATGAATAACTTCCCTCTATCAGTGACTATATATGCTCCTCGAAATGCCATGCAACTTGTGTAAGACCCTGGTAAGGTGAAAGACTCAATAAAAAATATGACTACTAATGCAGTGACGAGAATATACTAAGATGTACAGAAACAAGGGGCGGTCTGATAGCTAAGTTAGTGGGCGATTTTCGTCATGCTATCTTGCGCTCCCGCCGGGTAATTTGGAGAAAATTTTGAGTTTCTGATGGCTAGGAAGAAGAAAAGTAGTGGGAAAAAGATATTAGAGATTGGATTGAGAGCCTCAAATCTGATTTCTGAGGCATCTGATGATCATTCTGATGTCCGAAGTGATGATGATGATGAAGTTTTCATTGAGATGGGATCTACTGGTCCAAAAGGGGCAAAGAAATCTAGATCAATGGCTGACGTGCTGAATTCAAGCAATTTGCAGTGTGTTCGTGTTGATAGAGTTCCAGTGAATCAATCTGGAGTTCTTGATCTCTCTGCTGGCTCTAGTAAATCTTCTGGACCTAAAGGTGTTCTTGATCGAGTACCTGTGGATGTTCAACTAGGATTTCTTGATCTCAATGCTGGTTCTAGTAAGTTCCAATCTCCTAGATCTAAAGGTGTTCTTGATCTTAGTAAGCTTAAATCTCCTGGATCTAATGGCGATCTCAGCAAGCGTCAATTTTCTGGTTTTCTTGATTCTAATGGAGGTGTTCTTAAATCTCCTGGATCTAATGGCGATCTCAGCAAGCGTCAATTTTCTGGTTTTCTTGATTCTAATGGAGTTCTTGACCGAAATAATCAATCTACTGGGTCTAGTAGTTCGGTTAGAGTCTCCTGGGCAGATGAAGTGGATCTAAGAAAGGATAAGGAGGATTTCTAGTTGAATTCTCCTTTTTCTTTGAATACAGATCAAGCTGTAGAGGAAGCTTCTACTATATTGAATTCTGGTAAAAGAGATGTAGAAACGAGAGCCTCACCTAATGGAAAAGCTGATGGAGTCTTGATTTCAAATGAAACAAAGGATAAAATTGGAAAAAGCTGGATTAGTCTGTTCTCAGATAATAGGAAACTGGGTAGTGGGATGAATCTAAACTATATTCCATCTGAAAACAAAGATACGGTTTCTTTTGATGATAAAGAGTGGAATGAGGATATTTTAATTTGGCAATCTTCTCTAATTGGTCAAGTAATGGGACTGAATGTCAAATTTAAAGCAATGGAAAGTTATGTGCAGAAAACTTGGAAAAAATTGTTGCCAGAAATCTGTCTTCTCAAACCTGGACTGTTTCTGTTCAAATTCAAGAATGTTGATGAGATGAATGAGATTCTATGTAAAGGGCCATGGTTTTTTGGTTCAAGACCTTTGTTATTGAAGCAATGGTCCAATGGTGAGGAGATTGACAAAATTAAGGATTGTGTTTATCCTATGTGGATTCAACTCCCATCTTTAAGGCTTAACCTTTGGAATGCTAAGAGCATTTCTAAAATTGTTAGTACTATAGGTTGTCCTATTGCAACTGATAGACTTACTGCTAATAGACAGCGTTTGGCTTATGCGAGGGTGTTAGTTGAGGTTAAATTACCATCTCCCCTACCTGATCAGATCATCATTCAAGACCCAAAAGGGAAAAAATATTCTCAGAAGGTGATTTATGAGCTAAAACCTAAGTGGTGTGATACTTGCAAGCAGGTTGGGCATGACACAAAAACTTGTAGGAAACTTGTGAAAACACAGAGATGGATACCTAAGCAAAGTCAAAATCATAAACCTGGAAATATTGAGAAGGATGTGAATGCTACTCATGAACAGGGGAGTGTTTCTCAGAAGGGGAATTCTAGTCTGATTGGAGTTGCTGTGCATGATAGCAGTGTACAGGCTGAGCATGTGCACTTTGCTAATACTGGTGAACAAATATTTGGACATGTTAATAATTCACATCTGCTTTCCAAGGAGATGATTGCTGAGGATGGGATAAGGACTGCAATTCAAGCCTCCAGTTCTGGACAGCAGGCTGTGCACAGGTCTGTGCATGTGGTGCATGTCAAAGAGAAATGTCCAGAAGATAATCTGAGTCCAGGTTACTCTACAAAAGGGAATACTCCATGGATTCAAGTTCAAAATGGTAAAAAGAATAAGGATATTATACATGGTAACTCCTTCTCTTATCTAAATACTTTGAATATTGATCCTTCTACATTAGATAGAGGGGGAGGGGGTGATCAATGATGAATCTATCATTTTGGAATATTAGAGGATTAAACAAATCCTCTAAACAACACATGGTAAAGCAATTCTTATCTCAGTACCATCTTTCTTATATAGCCTTGCTTGAAACAAAAATTAAAAGTGATAGGATTCAGAGTGCAGTGCAGAGAATTGCTAGAAACTGGAATTGGATATCCAATGCCAGCAATCAAAGTAAAGCCAGAATTCTGATTATGTGGGATTCAAATGTGTTTGGAGTTCAAATCATCAATATATCTGATCAGAGTGTCACATGCAAAGTCAATTCCTTAGATGGCAGAATGGAATGTATTATTACATCAATCTATGCTTTTAACCAAATGGAGGCTAGGAAGGTGTTATGGGATGAATTGAAGTCTGCTCAACAGTCAATAAGGAATGAACCATGGCTACTATGTGGGGATTTCAACACTGTCATCAACAGTGAGGAGAAGATTGGAGGATCAATAGTCTCTGAATCTGATACTAAGGATTTCAGAGATTTCATTGATGATTGCCATCTAAATCAACTTAAAACTACAGGATGCTTTTATACTTGGAATAATAAGCAGGATCATGATTCTAGAGTGTGGTGTAAACTGGATAGGGCTTTGGTGAATGATACATGGCTTCTTAAGTACAATGCTAGTCAGGTTGAGTTCTTGCTCCCTAATTGCTCTGATCACTCACCTGCATTAGTAACAATTTTTGAGGATTGCTCAAAAGGAAAGAAACCTTTCAGGTATTTCAAAATGTGGTCTAAACATGACTCCTTTATTCCTGTTGTGTCTGCTATTTGGCAGACAAAAGTAGAGGGGTTTAAAATGTATACAGTATGTAAGAGGCTTCAGCTGCTGAGAGGAGCTCTTAAGGAATTAAACAAGAGGCATTATGCTAATATCAGTGAGCAGTTTTTGAGAGCTAGAAGGGCTCTTGAAGAAGCTCAGGGCAGGCTCCAAAATTCCCCTCTCAACCCAGAGTTAATTAAAAATGAAAGGGAATGCATTGCAAATTACAATAAACTTTTGGATTGTGAACTATCTTTTCTGCAGTAAAAAGCTAGAATTAATTGGAGTATTCAAGGAGATAGGTGCACTAATTTCTTTCATTCCAGGATCAAAGCTAATTTTCATCAGAATAAGGTGTTGACTCTATTCAATGCCTTAGGTCAGAGAATTTCTGATCAAGAGGAAATAGCTAAGGAAATGGTGTTATACTACAAGGACCTATTGGGGTCAGATACAGAAACTATCACTCCATACACTCATGTTATTCAGACAGGGCCATGTTTAACTGTTGCTCAAGTTGACATGCTTTCCAAGCCTGTTTCTAGAGAGGAAATAAAAAGTGCAATATTCTCAATGGATGAAAATAAAGCACCAGGACCTGATGGGTATGGGGTTGCCTTCTATAAGTCTGCCTGGTCTGTGATAGGACAGGAGGTGATTTTGGCTATTGAGGAATTCTTTAAAAATGGTAAAATGCTGGGAATGGTAAACTCTACCTCTATCACTCTTATTCCTAAGATAAAATGCCCAGTTTCTCCCTCTGATTATAGGCCTATTTCCTGCTGTAACTGCATCTATAAATTCATATCCAAAATTCTAGCTAACAGGATTAGACCAATCTTGGGGAGCATAGTGAATGATGCTCAAAGTGCTTTTGTCAAAGGTAGACAAATTTCCAGTAACATCTCCTTGGCACATGAGCTTGCTAAAAGCTACAGTAGGAAGGGGATTTCACCAAGAGTTATGTTGAGTATTGATATTAGAAAGGCCTTTGATACAGTTAACTGGAAATTTTTGAAGAAAATGCTTGAAGGTCTGGGTTTCCCTAGAGTGATGGTCAAATGGATTTTGGCTTGCATCTCTTCCCCTAGATTTTCTATTTCCCTAAATGGATCTCTTCATGGCTATTTTGAGGGTAAGAGGGGCTTAAGGCAGGGAGACCCCCTTTCTCCATATTTGTTCATCTTGGAAATGGAATACTTATCAAGGAAATTGGAGCTTTTAAAGGAAGATAAATTGTTCAGATATCATCCTATGTGTGGTAAGCTCAAAATATCCCACCTAATATTTGCGGATGATCTGCTGCTTTTCGCCAAGGGAGACTTATATTCAGTCCAAAAACTTTATCATTGTGTGAAGGATTTTAGTGCTACTACTGGTCTGGAAGCTAATCTGAGCAAATGCTCAATTTACTTTGGAGGTGTGAATGAAAATACCAAAACAGCAATTACAAATATGCTGGGGTTTTCTGAAGGGACTCTTCCATTCAAGTATTTGGGTGTACCTCTCATCTGTAAGAGGTTAACATTCATAGATTGTAACCCATTATTGGATAAAATCTCTGGTCAGTTTCAGAAGTGGCTTAGACATAGTAATCTATCATATGCAGGAAGGCTTCAAGTGATCAAAAGTGAGATATTAGGAGTTCAAAATTACTGGACAACCAATTTTGTTCTTCCTGTCAAAGTCACTCAGAAGATAGATGAGCTGTGCAGGAAATTCTTATGGGGGAAGTCTGATACTACTTTCAGAATCCCATTGGTCTCATGGGATAAAGTTTGTTATCGGAAAAAACAGGGTGGGTTGGGAGTTTTCTCTGCTTCTGTTTGGAATCTGTCTTCAGCATTAAGGAGCCTATGGTATATACATGTTAACAAGGAAAGTTTATGGGTGAAATGGATCCATGGGAATTATTTAAAACATTGGGATATATGGCACGTAAAGGCTAAAAAAGAGAATTCTTGGATGTGGAAATTTAAAACATTGGGATATATGGCACGTAAAGGCTAAAAAAGAGAATTCTTGGATGTGGAAGCAGCTGATCAAGTGTAGGGACAGAGTTGTGGCTGCTACTGGAGGGATTGACAACTTGAAGAAGACTCTCAGTGCTTTCTATAAAGATTCTAAATTGCAGTTATCTGCAGTTTACTCTGTTTTCTCCCCTGGTTCACATATGGTTCCTTGGTACAACACAATATGGGGAAAGCTGAATTATCCGAAGCACACATTTGTACTGTGGCTTGCTGTGCAGAACAGATTACTCACACAGGATAGGTTGATGAGAAGAGGAACCATTAATTCAAATATATGCCTACTATGTGCAGGAACTGCCTCTGAAACAAGAAACCATTTGTTCTTTGATTGTCCATTTTCAAGAGAGGTGTGGTTAGCCATCATGGACTGGCTTAGAATGACTTGGCAATCTTGTGAATGGGAATTGCTCATGAATTGGTTCTACACCAGACAAAGGGGGAATGGATTCAAAACAAATGTTAGGAGGTTGGCTCTTGCGGCTACTGTGTACAGATTGTGGATAGAAAGGAATAACAGATTTTTTCAAAAAGGAGTTACAGGTGCTGCTCATTTGGTTAAGAATATCAAATTTGATATCTTAACTATTTGCCTAAATAGTTCTATCTTAGATGAATATAGGGATTGGATAATATCCTTGTAAGTAGATAGCTTTCTGTTAGAAGCTCTGTTTTCTCAATTGGAGACTGTGATGTACATAAATTCCATATATTTGGTAAATGAATAAAGCATTTTTTCATTGACCAAAAAAAAAGAGAATATACTAAAATCAAACGTATGTCACTATGTCAGTTCTATAGAACTATAGTGTAGAAAGTTTAGTGGAACTTTCAAGTTGTGCAATGCAAAACTCACATATGGTTAGATAAGAAGATATATATGCAATATATTAATAATGAAATGTGGAACAATGCGCACAAAGTTCAGAAAATTTTTTTAGGCAGAATGGTGCACACATTGATAAGAAAATGTAATGTTCAACGTATAAAAAATTCAATCAAACTTTCAGTCTATATGTCAACTACATAGATGAACTAATATATTATGGGGGTGGGGGGGTAGGGTGTAGACTCACATGATGCAGATGAACACAAGTATAATAGTGAGTATAAAAGAGCTATTTCTTAAATGGACACACACACATATTATACACAAACGTACAAGTATGTGTGTGTAGAACAAATGGGTATACTTGGTAGCGATGTGGCCACTTTCTCTCCACTCATTTAATGGGTGGGTAAATAAATAGGGACTATTTTTAAATGAAAACCTACGGAATGTGTGGATAAGAAACAACCATATCACTACCAAACATACCCATTATGTTAACACACACACACATACATACATTCATATACATATACATATATTAAAGCTCTTATAAACTTAAGTAGATAGGAATCTTTTGTCCATTAACTTTTGTATTCATTGATTTTTCATTGACATTTTATGCTAGGATATGTTACAAAGAAAGACACAAATCTCAAAGATAGCATTAATTTGTAGCAGAAATCTAAAAGGTGTGTAAAAAGTGTGTTGGACACACACACACACACACATAGACATACGTACATACATACATACACACACACAAACACACACATACATATGCATATACATATACATATACATATACATATATATGCATATTTATATGTATATGTGTATGTATATGCATATGTATATGTATATGTGTATGTGTGTGTGTATATATACATATAAATATACATATACAAATATATATCTATGTATATCCTTATATGTAGATGATTAAAATATACTCTCTCTTGGGCCAATGCTCAATAGGAGTCTAAGAAGTGAATGCCCATAGACTAAACACTTCAGATAGGCTCAAATATAAGCTATAGAGAAGTTCCCTCGGGTCACATGCGAAAATGACTGCAAGCTAAACCCTGGCCCAGCTCATCCAAGTCAAATAAGACATGAGCCAGAGTTAATCCTCAAGTTAGATTCTGGGCCTAGTCGAAATGTGTCTTCCAATTAGACTCTAGATCGAGTTGATAGGTATTCTCAAATTGGACTCTAGGCCGAGTCCAAGTGTAGTAGTGAAGTTCACTCAAAGTCTAATGCGAACTTCGCCAAAAAGGCATATGTAGGCCAGTCATCCATATTCAAAGGATTGTAGATAAACAATTGATCTCTCAAGTTACGAGAGGTCTAGATCGACACTCGGCACAAGTCTGATACTTGAGCCCAATACATACTCAAGAATTCGATGCCCAGATCGAAGCGGCCCAAGCACATGCCCATAGCAGAGCTCGCCTAAGCGGAACTCGCTCTCAAGACCAAGTCAACCTAAAGCTACTAGTGGGGTTCACCTAAAATGAGTTTTGTCTAATAGTCAACATGGGACATATAGTAAAGTTCACTTATGTCATAGCGAAGTTTGCTGAAGCCGAACCGAAGCGAAGCTCACCCAAGCAGCAGTGATCTTCATCCAATAGCCCACGTGGGCTGTGTCACTCATTCTGTCGAAGTTAGCTCATGATCATTATTGATGAACTTCACTTGTGGTCATTATTGACAAACCTCACCTATGACCGTTATTGTCGAACCTAGCCCATAATTGTTTTTAGAAACAACTTTTAAGAAAATGGTTAATAACCACTAACTTACCCATGTAAGGAGAGTTGATGATCACTAACTTACCTATTTAAAGAGGAGTTAATGATCACTAACTAACCCATTTTAGGAGAGTTAAGACCTGCTAACTCACTCACTTAATTCTTTGAAGCCTATAAATAGGCATGATCAAGATGAGGCAAGCGGGAAAACAGATGCAAAGGAAAGGTCTTGGGATAACATTATCCTTTGCCATTGAGAAGAGAGAGAGGGAGAGAGAGAGAGAGAGAGAGAGAGAGAGAGAGAGAGAGAGAGGGGGGGGGGGAGAGAGAGAGAGAGAGAGAGAGAGAGAGAGAGAGAGAGAGAGAGAGAGAGAGAGAGAGAGAGAGAGAGAGAGAGAGAGAGAGAGAGAGAGAGAGAGAGAGAGAGAGAGAGAGAGAGAGAGAGAGAGAGAGAGAGAGAGAGAGAGAGAGAGAGAGAGAGAGAGAGAGAGGGGGGGGGAGATTCAAATGCTACATTCATAAAAATCCTATATTTCCTCCATTCTCATTGATCAGAAGAGAGAGAGAGAGAGAGAGAGAGAGAGAGAGAGAGAGAGAGAGAGAGAGAGAGGGGGGGGGAGATTCAAATGCTACATTCATAAAAATCCTATATTTCCTCCATTCTCATTGATCATTAATATCGGTTAATCATTTGGCCCAAACAACAATCCTTGTAAGAAAGAATCTGTTCTCTTCAGCTAGTCATCTAACTTAATCAACAGTCCTTGTGAGAAAAAATTTGTTAATATCTCATCATCTATAGAAGATTGTGCTATCTTCTAAGAGATTAGAACTCATCTATCAATAAAAGACCTATTGTCTTAGTTGGGCCATCAATAGAGTATTAGATCGACGCTCCATCGGCACGCGGGAAAGAACCCCAGATAATATAATTTTCTTGTTTCTCTTTCTATTGTAATCTATGTCAATTACAGTATAAAAAAACTCAAAACAGGATGGTGACTATGCTAGAGACTTTCTTCTCAACTGACGACAAGATCTAGTCACAGTCTGATACTAAGGCCTAGGGTCTTTCATTGAATTGCTGGTCATTGAACTTGACTAAGCAAAGTTCAAGAAATTCATCTCCTCTTACCAATCATCCACGGATACCTCCAGAAACTTCTATAGGATTCATCACTACGCAAAAATAGGGTTAAAATTGACCCTCGTATATGTCAAGGTGAACTTCGCCAGGATAGTTTGAGCTTCGTCGGAAGCCAAACCAGTGAAGACAACTCAAGTTTTGCCTACAACAAGGTGAGCCTCACTAAAGATAGGCCTAATCTCACTGAAGGTGGAATAATCTTCGCCATGAGCAAGAGAAGCCTCTCTAGAATAGCCCCAGTCTCGCCGAAGACAGTCCTAACTTCACTGGAGACAGAGCAAACTTCGTCCAGAGCGAAGGCAACCCTAATTTCACCCAAAGCGAAGCAAACCATGCCAAAAGTAGCCTCAGTGTCGCTGGAGGTAAAATAAGCTTCACCCCGAGCAAGGTCTTGGTGACCCTCACCCTAAACGAAAGTCAGGCCTCTCAAACATCCCTCGAATTTGGACTTTAGTCAACAACCTATTTGAGGGTTTTTCTTAAAGCGTCTCACGATGCTCATCATGTTTTCTTAAGGAAGCTAAAAATAAGGATTATTCTCTAATCAAAATTTCCCTTGGCAATTCTAAGTCTCCATCACAAGTTTAGACTTATGATGAAGTTACAATTGACCACGTCATTTGTAGGTCAAAGCAACATCATCTCAGGCGATGTTCTAATGTCAAAAGCCAGCCAAGTGAATCTGCTTTCAAGAAGAGAGATTGCCACATCAAGAAGATATGTACATCTTTATCTATCCAAGAGTCATTATTTACCTATCTAAGCACTTTCCCAAACCCTCAAAGTTTAGGGGAAAACGACGAGAGTGATATCACTAGAATGCTTTCGACCTTGATCTCCAAGAATTCATGGTTAATATGACTTGTGTAACCCAACAAGATAATGATAGCACGTTAAATCTAGAGGCCAATGGTGTCTACCGCCATTCTAGAAGAGACGGGAGGGTAGCTGTGCCCTTTGACTATTCTATTTTGGGTCGCTTGTCCGACGAACTCCTTTATAAGCGGATCATCCTTTTGCTAGCGGCACTGAATTGGTCATAGCATCAAACACAACTCCTAGCTCAAGCCAAGATGGAAGAACGGGAGTAGGCTGCCAAGATGGCGTATAAAGATGCCATCGACAATCTTATTTGTCTGTTTGAGGTCTTAAAAAAGGCATTAGATGAATGCTTCAAGCGACTTGAAAATATGCTTCAACAAATGTTGCTTACTTATTAGCCCCCTACGATGCTTCAAAAGAGAAGAAGACAGTCAACATCTTAATCAATAAGGAGTCACTACAACAACAACTTATCTTCTCCTCTCGATCATGTTAGCCCTTATGTTTTGATGATGTTCTTACAACCACCATTATTGGTACTAATGGCTTATTGAGTGAAATTGTAGTAAATCTATTTGTCAAGCTCGTTAGTGCCATCAATGGAGGATGGATGGAATATATGCTACAAAGATAATATCCAAAGGAGGAGGAGGCCAAGAGATGAAGCAACGTTAATTCAAGAACGAAAAACTCGAATAAAAGCTTCATCCGATTCAAGCTAATCAAAGCTCAAGTATTGCTTTAAATATGAGGATATTAGCTTTCTTTTATGTTTCTCTCTAGTGCTAGAATGTAGGCAAAGAGTCACTATGTTTACATGAAGCTATTGGGACTTACACACATGTTTTCTTTCTTAAACTTTTAAGCCGTTTTCACAAAACCTTATTTTTCACAAATACGAGAACCTATCTGCATAATTCTTTCTTCAAACAGTTTGTTTTTAGTATCAAAAACATTTTACAAAGATTCAGATTTTTCAGAGGTCAAATAAATATTCTACAAATATTTTAACTTGGTCAAAAACATGTTTTCCAGCATATGTCAGAAAGCGGTCGACCGGATCGGTCGACCGCACATATCATCTTTTCT